AAACACCTGTCAATCCACAGAGACACTGAGGGATGGTTGTGGTCTCCAGGTAGAGCTCTGGAGAGGAATGTTAACACATCTGTCCCTATATGCAGAATATTACTTCTTCAATGAGACTTTATCTACCAATACATATGCTCAAGTAAGTGGGGAACATATCTGATCTGAGCTCAAAGCAAAATACCACAAACTTCATCGTTTGACAGCAGGACTTCATGTTGTCATGCTCCTGGAGGTTGGAAGTCTCAGGTTAGGTCAGGTTACATTTAGGAATATATATGAATATACACACATACATATGCATGTAGTAACCATTAGTGAAAAACGAGGCTATAGAGTTAAGAGAGCAGGCAGGGTATATGTGAGGGTTTGGAAGAAGTTAAGAGAAAGAAAAAAATGTATTTATAATCCCCCCAAATATAAATTTTAATAAATTGAGAACAGGTTAAACATTGATTGAAGCAGGTTAGTGAGATGATTCAGTCTGTGGGTATAAGCAAGAAAACTGAAGTCAGCAGATGGGACGACGCAGACAGGAGACTTGATCCCAAGGAAGCTGCTTCTGAAAGACAAACATTGCCGCGGCAGTGGCAGAAATGAGCACCAGTGTGTAGCCAGGCAGAAAAGCCTACTGGGTCTTGGCTATGAAGGTCAAAACCTTAAAGAGAATTGATGTTTGTGTTTTCACGGTCTTCTCTTTATAAATGACACAAACCAGCCCTCTGTGCAGCCTAACCACTGAGGCTGGAAGCTGATCTTTCCAAGCTGTGGACATCGGGAGCCTAAAATATCAGCCTCCTGATGGCCAGTTAGTTTCCTTATTTGTCTCTTCTCAGCTTTCCTGGATGGGGTCTTATGTTTTTTGTTTCTTCTTCTTTTTTTTTTTTAAAGATTCATTTACTTATTTTAGTATGTATGTGCATTTATCTACATGTATGTATATGTGCCATATGTGTGTCTGGTGCCCTCAGAGGCCAAAGTAGTGAGTGCTTTATCCTTCCATTTATCTTTCCAGCTCCCTGCTTATTCATCATATATAGCATGGAACGATTCTCTCAGTTGTGGAGTGTGAGGCAAGACAACCTCTAAATGAATGCTGGAAAGCGTAGGTTCTGCAGTGTATAAATTCAGCATACAATAAGGCAGCTGTTTTGTTTTAGAGCAGTGGCTCTCTGCCTGTGGGTCTGGACCCCTTTGCGGGGGGGTCAAACAACCTTTTCACAGGGGTCTCATATCAGATATCCTGCATATCAGATTTTTACATTATGATCCATAACAGTAGTTTTACAGTTATGAAGTAGCAAAGAAAATAGTTTATAGTTGGGGGTCACAACAGGAAGAACTGTATTAAAGGGTTACAGCACTAGGAAGATTGAGAACCTCTGTTTCTTAGACTGTGACAGAATTAATTCATTTTTGATTCTTATTCATCATGCAGTATTCTGCTCTACTATAAACAAAAGAGAAAACATTAAATGTTTGTTTGTTTGTAGAGGCACAGTCTTACGATGTAGGCCTGGGTGATCTATATAGTAGGTCACTATATAGATCAGGCTGGCCTTGGTCTCACAGAGATCTGAATGCCTCTGCATCCATAGTGCTGAGATTAAAGGTGTGAACCACCACACCTGACTATGTCTTTTTAAAAAGAATTACTTTATTTTTATTTACATGTGTATGCATAAACATGTTTGTGAAGGCCAAAAGAAAGCACCAGAGCTGTAATTACAGACAGTTGTGCACCAATTCATATGGGTTCTGGGAATTGAACTTGGGTCCTCTGCAAGAGCAGCAACTGCTCTTAACCACAGAGCCATCACTCCAGGCTCCAAATATATGTATTTTAAACTAACTTGAAGAAGATAACAAAGCTTAGAATTTTCAAAACATTTATCTGTGGTCTTGGTATAGCAGTAGAATTGGTACGTTCCAGATAAAAGCTGATTACGTTTTTAATCATTTATTAACATTTTAAATATTTATTAATAACAGTATTGGCTGTAAAGAAAGTAAAAGTATAATTCAGTGTTTTTCAAAGAAAGAGTAGATAGTAACTTTTAAAATTTTCCAACAGGCTACTACAGCTGTTGGACAAATACATTCTGCTTCAGTAGAACTGGTTATAGAAGTTTGTATTTCATATTGAGAAAGTCATTTCCTCTTGTACTTAATGACTCTGCAGGAAATTTTCTAGCATGTGGCCAGCAAAGACATAGAAAGATTTCTGATTGGGCTTTGTTCTCAGTGAATGAGGTGGGAGGTGACATAGGCCTAAAGAGCCAAGGGCCTGAGGAACCAGAACACGAGTTTCAAAGTAAGAAGATTGTAATTCCAGTCCCAGATCCTCCTCTTCACAATAAGGGTGAAAACCACTGACTAGTCAATGCTTTGAGGCTTGATTACCTGACAGGATAGAAATTATCACAAATACATGACAATTTAGTATAATTATTAGTAGCAGTATAGAAACATTTCCCTAGGAAAGTGGCCAAAGATGTTCTGAAAATCTCCTAGAAAATTTCCTAAGTGAGTTTGGTGCTGGGACAGAAAAAAAAAAAATTGGGAAAAGGACAGTCATTTAACCTGCAACTCAGACACACCCACACACCCATACCCACACCCACCAAGAGAGACAGAGACAGACAAAGACAGACACAGAGATACACAGAGAGAGACAGACACACATACACATACACAAATGTTAGAGAGAGAGAGAGAGAGAGAGAGAGAGAGAGAGAGAGAGATGACTGTGTGTCTTTGAGAGAGGGCTCCACTATGGAGCCCAGCTGACTTTGAACTAAAGATCTTCCTTCCTTAGCCCCACTGGTACTGCATAGGTTTACCACTATGCTCACAAGACAAAAGAGGTCCACTAGGACTGGCTTAATTTTTAATACAATACTAGAAGTAGCATGTCTTGAATTTAGTAAACTGAGAAAAATTAGCATCTCTGGTAGGCTTTACTACAGTATCTCTTTTATTACAGTATCTCTGGTAGGTTTTCTTCACTTTGGCAATCAAGTAACATCTGTATTTGAAAACTTAGAGCTTATTTTCTTTTAAGAAGTGAAAGAGCTTTATAAAAAGAACATTCATTGAGTTTTATTAATATAGTATATCGTAAGATTGTTATGCACAATAAACAAGTATGATTTGTCAGTGAGCTCTATGCAACATCAATAAGCCAATACAAACTTTATTTTTATGTTAAAAAACATTTTTAAAGTAGTCACTTTATACGCATGGCATGTAAGACAGTTTGAAAGTTGACAATAGTGACCCACAGAACATGACTGAGTATCTGAACTTGCAAACACCAGCTGCAATCAGGTATCTTAGATGTGCAGCTTTGAGGAGGAGCTGGGAGGGTGGATGCCAGCTGTTGACAGCACATTCCTAGTATGGGAGTAGAGTGTGACCAGGGGCAGAGAATCAAGCTTTCATTTTGCCTGAAGTGTGAATGCTTTATTTGAAGTAGAACATGTTTGTAAGGCAGCTATAAATTCCTGTGGGGAAATTTAACAAAAAAGTATTGTGTTGCTTGTGCTAATAGTCATGTGTGAGACTTGCATTAAAAAGTAAAAACAGAGGCTCGCACCCTTAAGTGTGCTCCATCACTCAGGGTGCTTACCAACACCAGCCTCCTTGTGCTGCCAACCACAGACACAAGGAGAGTGAAAGACAAATGTCCCGAAGGGTACATCATCATGTCTGGAATGACTGCAGATTCCATGGCAGGCTGGATTCAAACTCTGTGAGGTGGCTGATACCTCACATTGGGAGGCTCACCCTCTCACTTCAGACGAATTCACCTGGCCAAGAGAGGGCAGATTTATCTTACTCCCATGCTCCTATAGACTAGAAACCAGCCTTTTCGTGCCTTAAAACAAAAACCAAACCAAGCAAAAAAAGCCCATTGGCCTTGGCCAGAAAATAAACCCAAAGAAAACAGAAACCTTCAACCATTTGCTCGCCAAGCCAAAGGCAGAGCCTTCACCAAGCTGTCTGATCCTTTACTATTCAGCACTAGGCCCCAACAGAAGGCTTGTCAACAGATTTTATTTACAGTCCTTGAGGAAAAACCCTCTTGCTGTTTTCACTTCTGTGGAAGATAAGTTTGTAAAGGGGGGACATTTGGCAGTGCTTCCAGAGCATACTGTCTGGTGCTGGTGATAACACAATTATTTGTTTTGATCATGGCAGCATCTACAATGGCCTTGTTCACAGACACCATCCTGTCCCACTGAGTGTATTCATCTCTGGTGTCGATGCAATTCATGTCGTCGTCTCCTTAGTGTTCAACCTTTCTCCTGCCAGAAGTTTCCAACCTGTCCAGAATCCTGCTGCTCAAAGATGTCAGCTCTACTTGGCATGCCTATGAAATGTCTTTCATTCAACTGAAAGGAAGTCGGCTGACTGATGTGAATATGCTCGCCAGTATGTGCTAGTATTCATTATGTGTGTATAATGGGGAATAGCTATACTCAGTACCAATAACTAAAATGTAGATATAAAATTAGTATCTTTCTGCTTGGTCAGAGTTAGATTCAATAACTCACAAGAGCCCCCCAAATAAAAACTGTTTACATGAAAGTCATACTTTATTTAAAACATCTCCCAAATAAAAAGGCACCCATAGAAACAAGTCCCATAGTTGTTGCTGTCTCTTTATAGTAAAAGTTGGAAAAATCAGTGTGTCTCAATGTCTCTAAACGTGTTTTTGAGCGCCTCAGGAACAAGAGATGTGAAGCTGCCACAAAGCTTATCAAAATTGGACAATGTACCAGGCAAATGTCATCTGTGGAGACATTAGTGACGTCTACATGCAGCTCTTTTGGTCTGAGTTCCCTGAGTGACGCATCTTCCACAGTACAGCTGAATGGTAGAACCTAAACCACATCCTTTGGAAACAGACTCGGCCCGTCTATGGTCTACCCTGGAAGGCAGTGAAAGAAAGGAGGTTTCGGAGACACAAGTAAAATATGAATGCATTTACTCACTGTGTTAAAGTTTGGAAAGAGTCCAACAGCAGAGCTACTGTCCACTGGAAAAGACATGAACGGTTTGATGTCCAGCGAAGGCTGCATCATCAGGGTGGGTGTGCGCACGAGGGCAGGAAGGGTGGTGGTGTGGCATGCACTGCCTGCCAAGAACAAAAGAGAACAAATTCAGTCTCTGACATCCATTTCCCTCTGAAGCTCCCAGTGCCAATGCAAGGCTGCTGAGCTGTGACCTGAAAACACAAGAGTCACGGAAGCAAGCACCCGGCAAATACAGCCAAAAGGATCTCTTCACGGACTGAGACACATGCAGAATGCCTCCCTGTGCATAAGCCAAGGGTTTCTCAGGGTCAGGTGACACACTGTCACCAGGTTCTACCATCAGGTGTGGCACAATGGTAATGCCTTGGTGTCCAACCTTCCTGGTACCTTTGAGAACCCACGGAACCATAAGCTGCTGGAGGTTAAAGGAGGGGCCTCTCACAATTCTCTTCACTATTGAGAGTAAGTGGCCAGCAGCATGTTTTATGCAAATCAGAGATAATTATCAGGGTTTTTATAAGGAAGGAAACTTGGATTTTGGCAGTTACCGGCTACAGTTATATGACTCAATTTGTCGTCTTAAAAAATAATCACAAAGTTGTTCTTACTCTAGGGGAAACAGGAAGTCGAGATATGGGAGGCTAGAGAACACAAGATGGCAGGTTATGGTTTAGCTGCAGATGGGGAGTCGGGGACAGGAACTGAACATGTCTTCATTTTTACACCTAATGACCTTGTGTTCTTTGGGCACCTGTCCCCTGAATAGAGGACATTAGCTGTTCTTTCCTTTGGTATCTGGTTTAATGTAGGCCTTTGTGATTCAGAATGATGTTTGCATTCTCCCTGATCATTACCAGTCATACAGTAAAGAAACATTTGTCGGCCTGGTTGGCTCTCTGGGAGACAGATTCTGGCATGCTTTGTGTGTGCACATTTGTACTTCTGTAGATGTGTATGCTCGTGTGAACTCACGCGTGTAGAGACCAGAAGTTAGCATCAAATGTCATTCCTCCAGAACCCACAGCCTTGTTTTCTGAGTCAATGTGTTTCACTGGGGCTTTGCAGATCTGGTAGGCTTGGGAACCTGTAGTCAAGGATCCTGCTGCCTCTGCCTCCCCTGAGCTGAGACTGCAACAGTAATCTTCCAGAGTGTGCTGCCATGGCTACATTCCATGTGGGTGCTGGGGATCAAACTCAAGTCCTCACGAGGGCATGGCATGCACTTTATCAAGCTACCTGCACAGTCCCATGTATGTATGCATGCATGCATGTATGTATGTGTGTATTCTAATCGCATATAAGATAATTCACCCCCTTTAAGTTCAATAGCTTTTTGGCACACTCAGAGTGGTAAATGGGCATCATCTTCACATTCAGAACATTTTCATGACTCTACGTGTAGCAGCAACCCCTTCCCATTTCATCCAATGTCTTTAGCTCCTGACAACCAATAATCAGTTTTCTTTACAGACAGATTCATCTGTCCAGAACACATCACTGAAATAAAACCGTATGACATATCTTTTGTGACTACCTTCACTTCCCTGAGATTCATGCTTTCGTCAGAGTCAAGGCACAGTGATACATTAGAAAGCCATTGGGAATGGTCCCACATTTCGCATGTTCATTTATTAGGTCGTGGGTACCTGGATCAGTGGCACATTGCGGGTATTCTTAAGAGTGTGAGACTTTCACCACCAGCAGTGCATGAGGGCTCAGGTCCCCTGGCACAAAGATTTCATTGCCTAGAATCCTTCATTTGCTTCAAGGAGAAATGAGCAGTGTGAAAAAAATGCCCTATCTATTAACTCTATTAAATGCCAGTAGTGTATGCATGCTAGGCCAAACCAGAATAGTCTTTAAGTGTTCAATCTCTTACAGTGTCCCCAAATCACTGAAGCTCCAGCCTCAATCATACCTAGCTTTTGTAATAAGTTTCCAAAACAAAACAAAACAAAAAACAAAAAATAAAACAAAATGGTAGCATGTTACCAGTTAGTTGTGGATAGTATTGGCAATCTGGTTGATTGATTGATTGATTGTGTGTATACATACATACATACATACATATACATACATATACATACATATACATACATATACATATAGAGGGAGAGGGAAGGAGAGGGAAAGGGGGGAGAGAGAGAGAGAGAGAGAGAGAGAGAGAGAGAGAGAGAGAGAGAGAGAACTATTAACTATAATAGCCCTCAGGTCAGCCACAGCCAGTAGGAAATACAGATGCTGACTCAGTGGAGAAAATCAGCTGAGAGTATAGAAGGAAGTAAGTTTTTTTTCTTTCTTTTCTTTTTTTTCTAATGCTCAATAATCTGGTTTGGCCTGACATGTGTACACCACTGGCATTTAATTACACACTACTCTCCTAATCAGGTAATGCTACTTCTCTTGCTAACTTCAAGCTTGGAGATTCAAGATGATGTATTACATAATTGCATCAAATGTCACAGAGGTATATCTGAAAGGACTTATTTTAAAATCCTAGCTAAATTGAAAGCTAGGGAAAATGGCCTTTAGTAATTTATCATCATGATGATTATTAGAATTCTAAGTCTGAAGGGTAATAAGTAGGTAGAATCAATCTAAGCTACCTACTGAGCAAACACAACTGTCCTGTGGCTGTGGGTCTCTGCAAGGGAGTTCCATCCACGAGTCTCAACGGTGGCTGTGATAAAACCAGTGTGTAAAACAGAGGCCCCCAGGGCCTGGTAAGTCACTCCGTAGTAACAAACTCAGATCAAATGGAATGCAATGGGGAAACTAACTCACAAACAGATTGCCCCATCAGTGAAGGTCAGAATGCTCTGCCATCCTCCTTACCCAATCACATCTCTATGCTAATAGACAGGCTGGAGAACTACTTAGCCTGCACCGTTCATTAGCATAAAACTTAGCAGCTGTTTACCATTTCATTAGCATTTTAACGACACTCAATTTGCCACGTTAAACACAGACTGTTTTAAAGTACTGATGGATCTTCTGCACAAGCCAGGCTTCCACCATCCCTTCACCTTACTCTCTGCTTCTGTTTTTTACGGACTGCTTCACCAAGACAGAATGCTTCCAAAGATGCTTCTGCAGATCGAAATAAAAGACAAAGCACAGAACGCTTTTCCCTCCCTCTTTCTGGTCACAAGTTATTTCACGCTTTGATCCTCTGTCATTTTATTCTGGATTTTGCTACTGCTGCTGGCAAGCCTTTCTTTTCACCTTTAGGAGTTAGGAGAAGTTTGGCTAAAACGCCTTGCACACTGCAAGAAAATGTTCCATATTTCTAAAAGCCAAAGACTTGCTGAGATTAAAGAAGAAGAAAGAAGGAAAAGAAAAATGGTTACCACTGAAATAATGAGCATTTTCATGCCAAAGTACCCCCCCCTTGGGTGTTAGGGGAAAGGGGGTCATTAAGTAAAGTACAGTTAATTAAGATTTAAAAAGTGTTTTAAGCTTAGATTTAAGTGTGAGTATGAAGACAGGCAGCTACAAAAGGACACTGGTGGTTCACACCTTGGGCAAGGTGGGCATGGCCGACTGCCAAGAGTATCTTTGTCTTTTCTGCAATTATTCAGCAATCTGTATGACTCTAAATGTGTGTGCATGGGTGACTGGTGAGTGTGCACTTGAAAGGATAAGCTGTAGACAGTGGTGAGAGACAGAAGACAGGTACCCTGTTCTGTCACTTTGTGACTCAGTGCTATTTGAGGTAGTGCCTCTCATTGAACCCTGTGAACCCTCTCAAGCTCTCCATGCTAGTCAGCCAAGGACCTCTGGCCATCCTATCTCTGCCCTGCCACCCAACAGCTTCCAACACTGGGGTTACAGGCACACTGTACTCTGCAAACTTTTCAGTGGGTGTTGGCATCCAAACTCAGCAAGCACCCATATTCAGTGAGCTATCTCTCCAACTTCAACAGGTTGTTGTTTTAATTACTAACTGCCAGTTAGTTTTTGTCACCTTGCCACAAACTACAAGTGGGAGCCTTAATTGAGGAACTGTGTCCATCAAATTGGGATGTAGTGTATGTAGGGCCTTTTCTTGATTGATGTGGGAGGGCCCAGCCCACTGTGCCTAGTGCTATCTCTAGGCAGATGGTGGTTCAAGGTCAAGCAAGCCGGGGCAGTGAGTCAGTAATCAGGGTTCCTTTATGGTCTCTGCTACAGTTCCTGTCTTTAGGTTCCTGTCTTTATTACCTTGATGGTGGACTGTAACCTGTAAGCTAAAATAAGCCCTTTCTTCCTCCAGTTTATTTGGTCAGGAAATCCACAGATTATTATCATAGCAACACAGGAACCTTGTTAGGCCAGTGTGTAAAGCACTGAGTTTCATCATGAGTTTCATATAAATGAATGAAGTCAAACTAGGGTTTCACTATATTTGATGAGGTTTTTTTTTATATCATATATATTTATCAAGCTTCCTATTAAAATCACACATGCATATACACACACATACTTACACACTTCTCTGGTTTTGATGAATTCTTTTTTGGAGTGAGGAGGCATTTCCTTAGAGAAGGAAATGTAAAGGGGAAATAGGCAGTAGGGGGGTAGAGGAAGTGGGTAGGGAAGAAAAGGGAAGAGCAAGAGCTGGTTTCCTGCTCAAGGTCAGGAAGGAGAGACAAAGTCAGAGACCTAAATGTGTCAAAGGCCATCCAATTGGCGGTGTTAATTTACCATGCTCAGGAAGGCAAGGTACCTTTCTTTGGTGGTATAGTTTATTAACCCACCATGGCAAGGTACTCTACTTTGGCAGCACAGTTACAGTTTTCCGAGTCTTGACAAATAGAAGTTATATTTATCTATCCTATGAAGCCAGTAATACGTGAAAGACTCACCACTGTGATCATAAAAAAAATCCTATTATTTCAGCCAACCGCCTCCGTAACATAATAGGTACCTTATCATGTCAATGGATTATGTCATAATCCATCACAATGAAAGCTCATTTGAGGGCCAAGTGACACTTGGAATTATTGCCTCCGTCTCTGACCTTTAGAAATGTGATCTTGAAGGCCCTTTTAGGCAATAATCCCAAGGCTTCCTGGTGCCTCATCTCTGTCCCATAACAGAAACAAACAAAGCATCTGAC